AGCGGAGAAACGTCATGAAACTCAATTTGGGCTTCATAGTAGAAATAAGGGTTAAAGTAGAATTCGCAAGGAAATTATCACTGAAGGTGCCCGTTACGTATTCGGAAACTGTCAACTACTTTACTTAAAGACCTAACAGCCATTTATGATAACTTTTCGGTATTTTGATGTACGGAAGTCTTCAGCTGTACAACTATTGCCCCCACTTCCATCCAATGGGATTCATTTCAAAGGTTCCATTACCTGCAAGGCCAATTTAATTTTTATTTAGCCAATGATAAATGTTAATAGAACTTTACATACGTAACTTCTGTTGTATGAATCTCAATACGTGTATGGTTAATTAACTTTATGCTTAATTCATTTAAGGTCTATTTTACGTACAGACCTAAATTAATTTTCAAGGAAAGGAAAAAGTCTGTGTTTCGAGTTCTACAAATTTTGATGGTACTCAGTTTAATACATGTCAGTGTTTCAAAATGAACGAGAATATTATAATCTGATGAATAAGAATAGCTACATTAATGAAACAACTTGACAAATGCACAGAAAATCATCAACAATCTCAATTCCATTAATTAACTGACTATCTAGCCACTACACACATAAATGCAGCACCGAAAACTTCACCATCGCTAGTACCACTGGATAAGATACTTTCGACACTTCAATCATTACGTTCCTAAAAATGCGTGTCCAACTTCATATCAGTTTTAAAATTTATCAAGAACTTCATTCACTTGTCGACTTTTCAGTAGAACGTCCAGGTTCATGTCCAGCTCATTGCAACTCCGGGATTTCACTGCCCTAACGAGACACTATCTACATACGTTACCCTGACTCTCGTTGCGTAACATCCCTCATTCCACTTTTCACGTTTCTTAGGTCAAGATTCCTGTATATCTTCTTCAAGCACTTGAAATTTACGTTCTTCCTTGAATCTGAGTGAACATGATTTATAAAAATATAAATGTTTATGTTTTAGTTAGTGTTTAAGCAAATTATAGACCGAACGTTATTACATATACAATATTGCACCTTTCAAACCTCAAAGAAACAGCCTTACACAATTTTGACTTTATACATACTTCATTGTTTCAGAATTTTAATGCTAACACAAATGAAGTTGCCATGGGACACTGCATCTCCCATGAAATGTTTTCTGTCAGTTCCAGTGGACATCATACTTGCTTAAATGACATGAGTGTATTGTAAACATTATTAAATTAAAATGTAATAAAGTTGATGTGAACAATCTGATCCTGACTATCAGTTCGCCTGTATCAAATATAATTAAAATGGTTTTACCGTTATAAGACGCGCATGAACAAACCTTACTTACTCCCGCCACGGTAACCACGAATTCCAGAAATTCCCTGACCGCATTACCAGTCCCCAAATTCATTAGTTTCGTACCCTTATTAAAACTTAGCGTATGAAGATTAAAGAATCGCCTTGATGATGGAGGCAGTAAGCTCCTCTGAAATCCCGGCCAACATTTCAGAAGATAATTATCTTAGCTGTGAGAACCTCAAATATTACAAAGTGAAGGCTAGTGGCCCAGGGCAGCAACATTACGATGCCTCAATATTTAGCGGGAAACGTCGCCTAAGAGCTCAAGTTGTAAAAATGTGATACAATAAATGGAACGGAAATAAAAAAGCTGAACTTGCAGACTTGAGAACAAGTATCCATGTCCGAGTACATCTGATCTCAACAAAGGTTTGTAGATCTCGTATAAGGAGCATTCCTGGTAGGTATTATGAATCAGGTACAAGAACACAGTGTGGGTTTAAGCTGTTTCTTCACACGCTCGTGATTCCTGACCGTATGTTTTGCAACCAATCTAAAATTCAGAAAGAACAATACAAAACTAACCGGTGATGACAACTGCTATGATGCTTCTACACGCTGTTTGAATTTCCATTCACTGCCCATGCACATACGCACCAAGTTCTTGGCATAGCAATTCTTGGTATATGTAAGTAAATAAATATACAATTAAATAAAAACATGGCAGTTAAAAGTCAGGAAAACAAAGTTCTGATTTCATCAAAATTATATACACACATTTGAAAAAC